GGGGGCTGAACCTCCCCTCCTCGCCCCTCGGTTCCCGGTGCTCTGAATGGTGCCAGAATTGGAAGGCTGGCAGGTTTGTGAGTGTTGCCGTACCAGAAGCAACGACGCAGCAGTGGAAGCGAGGGTGGACTTTGCTCGCCTTAGCTGAAAAGCGCAGTTAGGCACCGCTCAGCTGAGAGATCCCCGGGCTGTGATTTTTAACCTTTTCTTTTCAAGGTCTCTGTCATCAACGTGAAGACTCTGCGTGGCCGTTTGCATTTACCTGGCTCTCCTGTTTTTGCTCCTCTTTTCACAGCCTTCTCTTCCCCTATCCCTGGCTTGCATCAGCTTTAGGAAGGTCGAAATGGAAACACCCAGAAAAAATCATGTCTGATTTTTGCAGGGAATCTGGGAACACAAATGGAGACTTGTCGCTTCCTTCTTTGCACAGAGCCTGGAACTGAAAAGTGACGTCCTGACGTCTAGGCACATCACGAATCTGAAATGACTGGGGAGAAGCTGCTTCGGCTGACAGTCCGTATTCCGGCGTGTTCGTTAAAAGGTAGCGCTCGCTGTTGGAGCAGTGCTCTTCCCCTGTGCATCTCAAACCGCTTTGCGCAGTCTGGCGAGCTCCGCTTTGCAGCGGAGCAGTCCGGACCGCAGTGAGAGCTGCCCTGTGTGCAGACCGAGTTTAACAAATGGCTGCGGTGACATCAGACGGTAAGGGCGGTCTCTGTACTTCAGGAAAATCAGCAAAGTTAGGTGCCGTAGGTGGCTTTAGCTAACTTGGGTGCTGCGTTGCCTACAGAAAGTGTCTCTCGTTTCAGGTGCCAGCACTTCCAGTCTAGCCAGTCGAGACAGGAGGGCTGAGCCTGGATCTGCTCGGTACTTTTGAGGTAGGTCTGGGGCTTACCACCTCCCGTACCCCACCCCAAGGAGTCATGGAGGACAAACGCAACATCCCCATCATTGAGTGGGAGCACCTGGACAAAAGGAAATTCTACGTCTTTGGGATTTGCATGACGATGATGATCAGGGTGAGCGTTTACCCTTTCACGCTCATCCGGACGCGGCTGCAGGTGCAGAAGGGCAAGAGCCTATACAACGGAACTTTTGATGCTTTTGTGAAAATCCTGCGGACAGAAGGGACAGCTGGGCTCTACCGTGGCTTTTTGGTCAACACTTTCACCCTCATCTCTGGACAGTGCTACGTGACGACGTATGAGCTCACTCGGAAGTACGTGTCGCGGTACAACAACAACAACGCCGTGAAGTCTCTGGTGGCAGGCGGCTCAGCCTCCCTGGTGGCCCAGAGCATCACGGTGCCCATCGATGTGATCTCCCAGCACCTCATGATGCAGAGGAAGGGGGAGAGCATGGGCAGGTTTACGGTGCAGAACCAAGACGGCAAGCGGGTGTTGGTCTTTGGCCAAACCAAGGACATCATTGTACAGATTTTCAAGGCCGATGGCTTTAGAGGCTTCTACAGGGGCTATGTGGCCTCGCTGCTCACCTATATTCCCAACAGTGCAGTCTGGTGGCCCTTCTACCACTTCTATGCCGGTAAGTGAATGGAGACTTTGAATGTGTCTTAACCCAGGAGATATAGAAGCCCCTCGGATCGACTCTGAAACTCTGGACCCTGCGTGATTCGCTTTCTCTCTTTGATTTGGGGTAGAGCAGAACCCATCTTGAGAGAAACAGCTGTATCCAGCTGAAATGAACTCTGCAGATGTTGGGTGGAAGTTTAACAGAGCAGCGTTGGTTCAAACGCAGAGTTAAGAGCAGGGGTCTGAATCCTAGAGGACTTAAAACTAGGTGGCTCTAGGCAAGAGGGACTTGGTGTGTCTGCCTTAACTTTCTCTTCCGCAAATCCCAAATAACGCTTACGTTCTGCGTGGCAGTGAGGGAGGCTGTTGTCTGGCGTTGGGCAGAGTTTTGAAGCCACTGTGTAAGTAGAACTTCTCTTTTCAGTTCACGTGGACTCGGGAGTCTCATATATGGCCAAAAGACTTCCAGAGCCACAAATCTCGTAGCAAAACCAAACAAAGGCCAAAGCTGCCCTGGCTTTGTGTCTTGAGATCGTGCTTCACTTCCATAGCTTTAAAACTGGCACCAAACCTTGTGATATAGAACTACACTTAACAGTGTGTTCTCTCTGCCCAGCTCAGCTCTGGTAATCCTTAGGGTGTTCCCCAGCACTGAAGATACTGGCCAGCTAAGATGTACTTTTTCCTCCCATGATAATCCTTTAGATTTCTGTCATGCAGCTTTGCATGTGGTTTTCAGACTAGTGTTTACCTAATAGCAATCTGTCTAAACGTGATGCTAATGAGGCGTAGATTTCCCTCTACTAGGCTTAAAGTATATCTTGGAAATATCTTGGAAATTGCCTGCTTTTAAAAACATAAGTGCCTCGAATGTCTGGCTTGCTTTTCAGAGTAGGTGCATTGTGGTAGTGACGGGGAGCATTGGTTACGCGTCCGTGCTGCGTTGAAATGGCAACGGCAGCTTGGGATGTTGGTCCAGTCTGAACTTTTTGGGAGCGCTCCCGTCACTCTCCATGTCAGTAATTTTTAATACCAAAATCCACTTTATTAATTGTAAGACTTTCATGCCAAAAAGGTTCAGAAGTGGACATCTAAGAATGAGTAAGCTGATACGAGGAGAACAGAGCTTGCCTCTTTCAGATGCTTGCTCTCTTTCCTTGTCTTCTGCAGTGGAAGGTGATGCTAAATATAAGTCCCAGCTGTCGGTACATCTCTATGCTGGCTGCATTTTTTAGTCCTCTGTCCCTGGATAGTGCTCTGGCCTCGGCTGGCAGCAGCAGGGGTCATTGAGCCTTCCTTGGGGGTCGAAGTACGTGATTCAGACCAGCGTTCTGGATCACAAACGGAGCAGCTTCCTTCCCTCTTGCCAGGCAGTCACAACCACCACATCACCCAAAGAAGCTGGGGCTTTTGGACTGTCTTCCGTCCCGTTTTAACAGATATAAGTGTGGGAATTTCAAATCCCGTTTGCCAGGTGGTCGGAGCAGAATGAGGGAATCGCCGGGATGAGCAGTACGTAGCGCTTTCCCCTTCGAGATCCCGCGGCAGGGTACCGTGTAGATGTGTCTTAGACAGCGCGCTCGATGGTAGCGACAGCTTTCTGGATCTGTGTGAATCTCTGCCGACAACTTCCGATAGCCTCGTCTAAAGGTTTCCCTCCTGCCTTTTAAAGGGAGGTGAATGTTTCCATGCTCTCTTTTTGGGGACATACAAGCTTATTCTGTTTGCCCAGCAGGTCTGAGAGCCTGCCTTTGAGCTGATCAGAGGCTGAGTGACGGAGCGCCAGGGTGTTTACGGGCTTGCTCCCTGTGCTTTGCTAACTTTCAGGTTGATGTAGAAAGCAGCACTTAGATATGCTGTGGGAGGAGGTGACAGGTTGTAAAACAGGGATTCTGCCTGCTGCAAATCAGGCTAAATTAGCAGCTGGAGTTAAGGAGCTGATAAGCAGCCAGTTGTCTGAAACTTTACTCTCTCCTGTTTCCAGAACAGCTCTCTAGCTTGACTCCTAAAGACTGTCCCCATCTCCTCCTGCAAGCTATATCGGGGCCGCTGGCAGCTGCGACAGCTTCCACGCTCACCAACCCCATGGATGTCGTCAGGGCTCGGGTTCAGGTAAGAGCTCAGCCTGCCTGGCGCGTCTGTCTGCAGCAACAGCGTGATGCAGGGGTGGGGTTCGGTCTCGGCTCTTTGATCTCTGTGGCTTCAGGTGAGCTGCTCCCCTTCACTCTCTGTTCGTAGGTGTTTTGTCCTAGATATCGTGCTGCTTAATTGGCACTCGGCGTTAATAGGAGGCAGCTCAGGTAGCGAGGCTGGCTTCGCCTACCTGGCCTGCTCAAAAGAGGTTCCCCAGCAGACGTGGCATCCTGCAGAAAAGGAGAGGTGCTTCTAGCAGTGTCAGTTTTAGTCAGACTCGAGCCGTCGTGTTGATCCAGCCCCTGCTAGATGGGAGGAAGGAGGAGATAGGTCTAAAAATCCCGCTTACTGCTACCTCTGCAGGACTTCGTGCATTCCCCCCACCCCCTTGGGGAGTTCTGGAGACTCGATCAGGGTTATTGGACTGGCTGGTCTGTAGTCTCTAGAGCCTTTGGTCAGAGCAGAAGCCCGGGGCAGCTCAGCATGACGTCTGGCAGCTCTGTGAATCTTTGTTCTGGCTTTGCAGGTGGAAGGCAAGAGCTCCATCATCCTCACCTTCAAACAGCTCATGGTGGAGGAAGGTCCCTGGGGCCTGACAAAAGGCCTCTCCGCCCGCATCATCTCGGCCACTCCTTCCACCATCGTCATCGTGGTGGGGTACGAAACGCTGAAGAAGCTCAGCCTCCGCCCGGAGCTGGTGGATTCGAGGCACTGGTAGAGGCAGCTGGTGGGAGAGAAAAACCTTCCTTTGAACCCTCTGGATGTGGACTGTCGCGGTTGGAAGCTCGGGAGGAGAGGCAGCTGCCGTCTCGAGCTGGTTTCGCACTACAAGGCAGAAGCAAGAGCAGCTGCAGTTCACCTCCAGATTTGATCGTGGTGCAGTGCTCTGCTGCTGCTTCTGCTTCACACCATCGAAATGTGACCTTGGGCAACGCTGTTTGCCTGTGACGGTTCATTCAAGAGCAGCCAGCTGCGTGCACGCATCTGGCGAGTTCTTACATCCCTTTTTTTTTTTTTTTTTTTTAAATTAAAGACACACTGGCTGAAGCAAAAAGCCAGTTTATTCTTTAAATTATTTGAATCTTGCCAAACTTCCGAGGAGGGGAGTCAAAGAGACTGCAGCAGAGCCCTCTGGTGGGTTGGGTGCTGGCTGCAGTTGTACCGTGGGAAGCAAGAAGAGTAGAATAGACAAGTGAATTTCTCCAGTCACCCACATTTAATACTAGAAGATGCGAGAGGAGAATAACCTGGAACCACTGAAGACCTTCCTCGCTGCGTTTTGGATAGATCTGTACATACCTTTTCGTATGTTCTTGGAAACGTTTCCTATCTCTCATCCTGCAAGCAGCAAGCTGGCCGAGAGGCAAGTTAGGAGTTGAGCTGGCTGTTTGTAATTAGCCGATGGCAATTTTGACACCTGCCCTGTGTTTTTAATCTGTTGTTATTTAATTATTTTTTTTTTAAATTTTTGTTTTAGGGAAGCTTATTCTGATTTCTGGGGGACTGAGTGGTTGTTCTGTGGCCTTGTTCGATGTGAGTGTCGGTACTGCATGCTCAGGTGGCCGCTGCCGCTTCCCGCCTTTAGTCAGTTTAAGTGCAAACGAAAGCAGAGTTTGGAAGTGTCAGCTTGTCGGGGCTGCGCTGCCGGCAGCCACCACAGGAACGGAACGTGCTTTGAGCTACAGCTGGATGTGAGGTGGGGAAGAAAAAGGAGCTTGTACTGGCTTTTGATCCAGTTCAAACCTGACTGGCATGTTCATATTGAATAAGAAGTAATAGTTCACTAATACTTTGTAAGTTTAAATCCTGCTGATCCTGTTTGGGAAGGGCAAGGACGATTCTTTGCACACTCTGGCTGGATCAAAATCTTAAGCTGTGGCCTGTGTTTTTTACCAGATGAAAAGTTGCAGTTGAGGGATGAAGCAAGAGGCTGCTTTTGGGGAGGAGGGCTGGAAGGGATTGGTTGACTTCACTCTGCTGGTCTCAGTATTTGAGATTTGCCTGCCGTGACGCCAGCCCACGCGTGGTGCTCGTCCCAGTTCGCTGTACGTCTGCGAGGTGAGAGATCCACCTCCAAATAACCGATGTGTCGCCGTCCCCGGTCGTCTCACTGCCCTGATGCTTGGTTGTAGCGTTGATCCTGCCGAACTGCGGCCGGGCTCTTGGCTGCCTTTTCACCTGGGACTTGCACAGTGTGGCTCTCGCCTTCATCCCGACGTCCGCAGTTCAGCCCCGGCAGAGACGGGAGGTGCCACGGTTTCCGCTGGAGGCGGAACAAACACCGATGCTGCTGAAGTTGGAGGGGGATATTTATGTTTAAAGGCAAAACTTGGTTATAAGACACGGTACTCTGTAATGGGGTTGCAGATGAGTCGTCAAAGTCCTTTTCTTGTTTTCTGCAGCATTAAATAAGGTGATGTGTGTGTGAGCTGCTGCCAGAGCTGTTCGAGCAGCGTGTTTTGCCAGCTGCTCTTCCGTCGCATTGGTGGGGTTTAAAAGACGGCGCCGATCTGTAACACGCCTTTCTGTAACAGCTGATGCTGCTTTAAAAAATGGGACAGCGGCACCGCAGGACCCCAAGGACGTATCCCAGGCGCGTGGTAGCCCCGTTCTCCCACAAAGGCAGCGGTAATACCGATATTAAAAGAAACAATAATCGTCAGCCTCTGCTGATTGCTGGCAGCATAAGTCTCGGTGCGTGTCCTGGAAGTGGCAGACAGCCCGGGTGTAGGGCTTAGTGTTCCTCTCTTAACCAGCGATGTTCTTGACGACTAATAAACTTCAGAGACCTTCCGTTGGAGTTTACGAGCGCTTTAGTCGCAGGGAGTGAGCTTGCCAAGGCCTCTGCCCGTTTCTGTCATTTCACCATGACGCTTTCTTGGCTCGAACGCTTTGCTTTCTGAGTAGCACTAGGAGGGACCCGACCAGCAGAGACTGCCTGGAAAAGCCATGGCAGGGACTGCGCGCAGAGCTGAACACGCTGGGGAAAACCGGGCTGAAGCGGGTGTAGTGCCTGAAACCATGGGTTAGTTACACGCTCGCATCCTGGCTGACGAACCAGTAACACGGGCAAGCAGTGTCTTGACAAGGGGAAAAACGGGTGCTCTCCTTTTTCTGTCCTGAACTTGGATTGTTCTTCCCCCTTTCCAGTTCTTGGGGCTTGGTGGTTTTATTTCGTTAAATAACGGAGGACGTCACCCAGGCGGAGGGGGGTGGGGGTTTCCACGGGGATCTCGGGAGAGGGTTTATTGTATTTGTCGCTCTGCTGTTTATTTAGTTCGCTGTCTCCAGCCGTGATGCAGCGGATGAAGTGTTTCAGCCCTCTGTGACTTTTTATTCCCTTTTTTTTTCCCTTCCCAAAAGGCGGACGCCTTTCTGCCCAGCTCTGTTTTGCAGGGCCCATAGGCGGCCGAGGCCCCGCCCC